GCTTGGAGCCCCACTGCCTCTGGGACACAGCTGAGAGCCTGGCACTGCCCCTATCCTGAACCCTGTGACACACTGGCCAGATCCCAGTCAGGACTCAAGAACTTACACCCTCAGCTGTCCGACCCCAGGTATGGCTTCCTAAGAAACTCCCTGCCACCATGCCTGGCCCATTCCACACATAAAGGCCCAGCCTCTAACCCTATTCACAGTATCTCTGAAGGCCCCATCAGCTTCTGAGCTTCCAGTGGGGTGAGCGAGGCCTTTTATTGGAACTATCAGAGCCCAGTTTCTCTCTCAGTCCCACTTTCAGTCCTTCCCTTTCGAAGTGTTAATGCTCAAAGTGTTCCCCAACAAATATCCTCCACATCCAATCTAATCCCTAGCTCCGAGTCTACTCCCCAGGAAACCAAGCCAGCCACACCTGCCAACCACTTCTCCTAGAACCACAAGCAGACTGCTGGGAAAACTCAGTAATCAGTGCAACTTTACAACCTAAAATTGAGTTAACAGATGGATTTCTCGGCTTTTTTTTTTGGTACAGGGGATCAAACTCGGGTCCTTGCGCTTACAAAACAGGCGGCGGAACCACTGAGCTAAATCCCCAGGCCCCTGCTTTTTTTTTTATACTCAGGCCATCACCCAAAAACACTTTCAAAATTTCAGTCTGATCCTTAGGGTTTAAGCCACAACCAGGTTATAAATGAAAGTATGCTCTGTCCAAGTTCTGAGTATACAAAGATTCTCATCCTGATTTACCAGTGGACCCCGAAGTTCGACCAAGATTAGCCAGACATACTCACTGCCCAGAATCTCCCGAGGATTTAATCTCTCAATTTGCCACCAAAAGATATGAAAGTGGAAATATTTGCCAGAAAAAAGGTTGGGCTGGGAGGCCCCCAAAAGGAGCAATCAGAATAGAAAAATGAAGAGCTTTCTTTTAACCACCAGCAAAGTTTAGCAAACAGACATTGAAATGACATTTGTGTGGGCTTGGCCATAAGATAAGTGACCACAGAAACTCGGGACTGGCACACTCTGACCCTGGTGGCAGCTCTGCTTCTGAACCTCTGAGCAGATAAAGGAAATTGCAGGTTCCCTCTTTTCTCTCTCACCCTCTTCTCTTCTCTTTCTCCAAAGCAGAGGTTCAGAGAATACAAAAGACCTGTTTGCTGTTCTAGACTCATCACACACTAGTATGTGAACTTGCACCATTTATTAACCTCTCTGTCTTCCGATTTCCTTATTGAAAAAAATGAGAGATAAAGAAAACTTCTGCATGTATTTGGCAGGAATAAAAACATGAGTTAACACCACTTATAAACTCTTGCAGAGCACTGTGCCTAACCATCTAGTCCAGTGGTTCTTGCAGCTGCACAGAGGGATTAACAGGGGAGCTTCAAAAAATACTGAGGCCAGGAGGGTACCCCAGCATGTCTGATATAACCAGTTCAGGGTGCGGAAGCATCAGAAATGTTTGCAGCTTTCCAGGTGATTCCAAGGTGCAGTCAAGGCCAAGAGCTATTGCTGTCTGCAGATTATTTTATGTAAGCCACCAACTACCCTATGAATTCAGTATGACTGTCCTCCATGCCCATTTTTACAGACAAGGAAAATAAGGTTTGGAAAGGTGGAGGTTGCTCGCGACTATGCAACAATCAAGGGACAGAGCTGAGATTTGAATCCACACAGGATAACTCCCAAGACGTACACATCACTACACTGCTTCACCCTAGATATAGAGAAACATCTAACTGTCTCTAGTTATCCAGAAGATGTTTCCTATTTGAGGGGCTTGTGCTGTTCTTTGCTTTTTAGCTTCCCTCGGCTCTTCACAATTCCCAGCCTAAAATACCACTGGCAGTTGAATAAGAATGAGGGATAAATAGGATTCAGGAGCATAGTCAGGATGGATCCAAAAGAGAAAAAAATCTGGTTTTTTTCCTTCTCCCCTTCTTCCTACAACATAGCTATGAAAATACACTTGTTTTCTTTTTAAGATCTTTCTGCTTGTTTGTTTTGTAGATGTTGCCCAGGCTGGCTTGAACTCCTAGACTCAAGCAATCCTCCTGCCTCAGGCTCTCAAGTATGGGACTACAGGTATGCACCACTGTGCCTGAGATTAAAACATTTTAAAATAATTATTACAGATACTATATTGAGAATCTCAGAAGTCTGAAGAAAAAATATTTTTACCATCCCCGTTCCAGTTTAAATCAATGTTTTCATTTGCCTATGTCAACTTCTGGGCCTTGTTCATAAGCCTATCTGGCTTTTGTATCTATGATATCACAATCAGTACATTTGTATAATACTTTGTTAACATGATGCCATGTATATCTTTCTAGATGTGTCTTACAACTCTAGTAAGCCCCTTGACAAGCTCTGTAGATAATGCAGCTGAGCCAGAAATATTTTCATTGAAAGTTCTTCTCATCAGGGAAAAAAAAGCTTAGCCCGGTTACTCTAAAAGCTGATGTAAAAATTTATAAGCCTGTAAAAGTCACATGACATGGCGTTAGCTTTCCTTTATTTGTTGTACGCATCTAAATATCCACTCTCCTCACCCCCACGCCTAGCACAAAGAACTCAAAAATATATGTTGCATAAATGAAAAAATGATACTTTTCATAGCTGTATGGTGAAGTTACAAAATGGGATTTCTTAGGGGCAGGGACAGAAAACTCCAAAACTAAGCCCTAGATCAGGGCAGGGTAGTCAACAAAAAAACAGGCAGGAAAGACGGCTGGAAACCTCATGGTAAAGGCCAGTTAAATTGGCCAGGAGGAAATGTGTGCTTTCCTGAATGGTATCCATTCAAACTTTCAATCTTGGAAGTGTGACATGTCTAAACCATGTCAGGGACTCACAGCTGGCCCCCCAGTCACATTTTGGGGTATTTGAAAAAGATCTTTATATTCTTGGGCTCCTCTCTCCCTGTGCACTGGAAGGATCTGCAGGTGTGGCAGCTATGGCAAATAGTAACAATAATAATAATAATTAATAATAATAATAATAATAATGCTGCAAAGGAGTGAAATGGGTTTACTTTGGGAGAACACCCACTTACAAAGTCCTTAGAGCAAGGACTCTTGTGCTGCAGTCCACCAGGCCTCCTCTGGATGCCACAGTGGGGCATCAAGGACACTGTGAATCCCCCGAAATCAATGTAAATTATGTACGTACGTCTGTCTGCCTGTCTGTCTGTCTAGGTGAGCTCCGTTTTCATCAGACTCCTGAGTCTTTTGATTATAGGGACTCTTTCCTTCCACTTCATCAGCTCAGGTGGGGCTCTTCTAAACCCATCACTCTTTGATAGAAGCTGCAGATGAGGACAAGAGGGAAGGTTGAAAGCAAAGGGACTAGCCCTACGCAGGGTCTGCTACTGAGTCCGCACATATGTGTGAAAGGCTGAGCGAGTCACCAGCATGGATAAGGGCCCATAAACGGTAGCTCTCTCTACGTTTATCACTCTGTGCAAAGCACTTCACTTTTATTTCAGTCTCACAACAACCCCGTAAGGTCATAGAATTCCCATATCCTAGTTAGGAGGAAACTAGTAACTGAGATTTGATTGACTCACTAACCTAGGGTCACACAGCAAGTAGGACAGTACGGAACTGCCTAGCCCCAAAGCTTGGACTCTTCCTCTCCAGGCCCTGGAGTCCCCGCCGGCTGTCTGACTGAGCCAGCCTCTCTGCTCACCCTCCAACCCACCCGGCTGCCACATCTGAAGCCTCCAGGTCCTGCCCTCTCCTTGCTCTGTCCATCAGTGCAGCCCCAGAGCCGAAAGGAGCCTTTTCAGGCCAAGGCATAATCTATTTCCTGACATCATGTGGCCCCAATCATCCCCCTCAAATTCCACACTCAAAGCCAGTTTCCAATCCTTCAATTGTCAATTAAAGAAATAAATCACAGTTCAATTCCTCGGCTTTTTAATGCAGCCAAGTCAAAGCTAGAAGGGAAGAAATGTTTTCCGGTAGTCACACAGCAGAGGAGTGAGAAAGCTCTAACTCATTTTCTGGTTTCTAAATCCATGCTCAAATCTGCGCTTCCCATCAAGCCGCCTGTGTGCCCTGAGGCCTTCCTGTGCACCCTCTCTTCCACGCCTCCTGCATGTTTCCAAGAGCAAGGTGGCACAGGTGTTATTCCTGGGAGGTTAAGCAAGTCCCCCGGTCCACACAGGCAGTAAGCAACCGGACCCGGACCGGAACCTGGACCAAGGCCAGACCTCTCTGAGGGCAGTCCGGGCTGCTAGCCACGCCCCTCCCACCAGCCCTACCCAGGCCCTGGGATTCGGGGTACCAACGTTGCCTCTCGGTTTTCCCTGTTCGGAGCTCAGGTTTTGCCTGGCTGAAATTTGGTCAGCCTCTCGGAAGGAGGAGCCACGGAAGACAGATGGACTCTATAAATCCATGGCCGGGGGCCAGGCTGAGCTCTGCCCCTTGTACCTCTGTCACCTTAGGCAGATCCCAGATCTTGCTAAAGCCCCAGGTCGCAGGGATCCAGAGGAGAACGCTAGGCAGCGTTCAGTTGTTATGCAAATATGAGATGCCCTCGCTCCTCCTCAACCCACTAGTTCCAGAGAGGAGGCCTTAGCCCCGTCCCAGCCCCTCCTTCCCAGTGGTCTCCGGAGTTCTCGGCGTCCAGGAGAGTCCCGCCGCCGCCCCCTCGCGCTCCCTCCTCCCGCGTGGCTGCTGCTTCATTTTCCCTCCGTCTCAGCACCGTTCTCTCGCCTCGCCTCGCCTGAACAACGGCTCTTGGCTGCGCGTCTTCTGGCTACTTTCCTCTGCCCGTCTGGAGCCCCTCGCCTGAGGCCGAGCTCTGGCGCTCGGCGGGGACCGCGCGTCCCGCCCTCCGCGGCGGAGGGGTGTGTCCCGAGGGTTTAGCTAGGAGGCGCCTCGCGGTGGGGCGCACCCCGCCGCCCGCCCAGCTTCCTCTGTGGAGCAGCCCCTGCGCCCAGCCGCGCCGAGCGCGCGGGGTGCTCTCTGCACCCGGGCCGGGGCCTCGCCCGCCCGCAGCCTCCACTGCAGCCGGCCTCGAAGATGTCCTTCTACCCCTGCAACGCCACCACCTCGGTGCAGAGTGGCAACTCCGCGACGGTGGGCGGGGTGCTCTTCGGCACCGGCCTCCTCGGCAACCTGCTGGCCCTGGGGCTGCTGGCGCGCTCGGGGCTCGGGTCCTGCCGGCCGCGCCCGCAGCGCTCGGTCTTCTATGTGCTGGTGTGCGGCTTGACGGTCACGGACCTGCTGGGCAAGTGTCTGCTGAGCCCGGTGGTGCTGGCCGCCTACGCGCAAAACCGGAGCCTTCGGGGGCTGACGCCCGCGCAGGGCAAGCCGCTGTGCCAAGCCTTCGCCTTCGTCATGTCCTTCTTTGGGCTCGCCTCAACCCTGCAGCTCCTAGCCATGGCCCTGGAGTGCTGGCTGTCCCTGGGGCATCCCTTCTTCTACCAGCGGCACATCACTCTGCGCCGGGGTGCACTCGTGGCGCCGGTCGTGGGCGCCTTCAGCCTGGCTTTCTGCGCGCTCCCCTTCGCGGGCTTCGGGGACTTCGTGCAGTACTGTCCTGGCACCTGGTGCTTCATCCAGATGGTCTCGGGAGACGGCTCGCTGTCGGTGCAGGGCTACTCGGTGCTGTACTCCAGCCTCGTGGCGCTGCTGGTGCTCGCCATCGTGCTGTGCAACCTGGGCGCCATGCGCAACCTCTACACCATGCACCAGCGCCTGCGGCGGAACACGCGCTGCTGCGGCCTCCGGGAGCGCGGGGGGGCCGGCGCCGGCCAGAGCGAGGCCATCCCGCACCCCCTGGAGGAGCTGGACCACCTGCTGCTGCTTGCCCTCATGACCGTGCTCTTCACCATGTGCACCCTTCCTCTAATTGTGAGTCACAGGCAGCCGAGGCCTCGGGACCTGGGGTGTGTGGCACCGCGCGCTGGGCTGGGAGGGCGGAGCTGCAGCCTGGGCAGGGGCAGGGGTTGATTCGCTCCCCGAGTCGGATTCCCTCCACCGCCCGATTTGCTGAGCGAGAAGCGGGAAAGTCAGAGGAAGGGCCTGACAGCCCTGCAGAATCCCCTTCCCTCCGCTCCCGTCGGGCGAGCTCTCGGGTCGGTTTGCGCCTAGGACCTTGGAGGAGTAGAACTGGGTTCCCCTGGCCCCAGGGTCCCCGGCCTTTTCCTGACTGCTAGCTGACGTTTCCTTTCGCCAGCCCTGTCCGTGGTGTTAGCGGTGTCAGGAATGGGCCAACGGCGCCTTCTCTGAAGTGTTGGCACGGAAAGGGGCAAAGGGAGCCTTTAATTCTGCCCGAGCGGCTTGAGGAAGGGAGTGACTAAAACACAGATTTAGTTTCAGGAAGGAAATATAAAAAACCTCCTTCATAAACGTAGAGGCGCGGAGGCAGCTGTGTCTGTTGCAGCCCGGGATCTGTTGTAACCCAGATACAGGCTGTTGTAAGTAGATTTCAACCGTCCTGTCCTTTTTGACAACCCGTCTTGACACGTTTTGTTTCTGTCTTGGCAAGTGAGGTGCCCTGAAAGCCATTACTCGGGTTTCAATTTACGAAGAGGACGGTAGTGGAGTTTGAATTACCTCCTTTCGTTTTAATTCCTGGGGTCCCAGACACACAGGGAGTGGCTGAGGATGGCTGGGCACCAAGAAACTTTTTAAGTATTCCCCCTCTTCCTGTCCTGTCCCCCAAACCACAGGTCTAACAAGAGCAACGTTTATATAAAGTAGGTATATGGTCAGTGTAAAGTCCTTGCAGTCCTGAGACTCCTGGAACTAGGGCAGTTTCTTATTACGGTGCAGCAGTTTCAGATGTTACTTCTAATGGGGAACAAAAGGGAGATGTAAAGTGATTTCCCCTTAAATCAATGCCTCGATTGTGGGAGAAGCTTACTCGGTAGCATCATTCTACAGGGGTAAGATCAGAATTCAGCAAACCAATACGGGCATAGAAATAAATAGCGGTGGCTCTCAAGCTTTGCAATGTTCAGAATCATCAGCTGGTTTTTTAAAATGAAGATAACGGAACCCTCATCCCCCAGGATTTCGAATTAGGGCATTTTTGAAGATTTTCATTCTTTACCAGTTTCCAGTTGGCGCTAACACTGCTGATTCAGGAATCACCTTTGTAGGACTACACTCTGAAATGGGAGGCTGAGCCAGTCCTGCCTGCTGCTTTCGTACAGATTTGAAGTTAATAGTTTGTACTTCTTTTAAATTTTTATTTTTATTAGTATATCTTTGTAGTACATAGTGACTACCTTCATTTTGGGGACTTGGCATATGTACGTAACACATCTTAAATGAGTATTCACCATCAGCCTAAAATTTTGAGCCCCAATTAGGCCAAACACTTTTCCAATTTTTTTTTTTTTGGTACCAGGGATCGAACTCAGGACCTTGAGCTTGCAAGGCAGGTGGCAGAACCACTGAGCTAAATCCTCAGCCCCTACTTTTCCAATTTTTAAAAAAAGAAATATATTGTTCTCCTTAGTAGATAGGTATTTTAAAAAATTGTATCCAATTATGATTATTATATCTTGAATGTCATCAATAAAACTATGGAAATGTATTTTCTCTCTTACTGTTTTAGTACCTACCAAATATTCATGATTTTACCACTTGACCTGTAAAAATGAAAATATGTACTATCCATTCCATTTCAGAAAATCTTGGCAGGGCACTATTACAAAGTTGGAACTTCATTTACTTATGCTGTGAGAAAGCAAACCATAGCCAAAAGCATAAAACTTTTGACCTCAGTTTGAATGTTTTAGTAAGAATAATGCAGAAAGCAGCATAACACAGAGGAAAGAGCATTGCATTTTTTCATTTCTCTAAGGAGGTTTGATTAACTCATGGGGCATTGTGAGGATTAACGGAAATAATGGATTTGCAAATGACTTTCTCATAATATTGTAAAGTACCAAATGCATATAATGCAGACAGTGTGACTCACAGAAACCATCATTTTCTAGGAAGGAAAAGGGTTTTAGTGTCAGATATGGGTTTGAATCTAGCCTCATCACGTTATCACTCTGAAAGTAGCTATTTATCCTCATCTATAAGATGAGGTTTACCATATTAGTTCAGTAAGACAGTTGTGAAGCCTTAAACTTTTACACACATACACATACACACATGTACACACTGACCATCCCCAATCTGAAAATCCAAAATGCTTCACAGTCTGAAACTTTCAGAGTGCCACCATGATGCCACAAATGGAAAATTCCACACCTGACCCCATGTAATGGATCATAGTCAAAACACAGATGCATTCAAATTATTGTCTTAAAAAACTCCAAAATATTGTCTAAGATCACCTTCAGACTATTGGCATAAAGTACACATGAAATAAATGCATTTCCGGTTTAGACTTGGGTCCCACACTCAAGCTCCCTCTTGTGTATATGCAAATATTCCCGACTCCAGAAAAAACCAAAATTTGAAATCTAAAACGCTTTTGGTCCCAAGCATTTTGGATAAAGGATACTCGACCTGCCTGCGTATGTGTGTGTGTTCACTCAGTGCTTGTCCTCAATAATTAGTCTCACTATCATTACTAATTATAGCTTTCATTTATTGTTATCACCTGCTAGATCTAACAAATTAATCAAGAAATATGATCTTCTCAGGAGACAGCATTACATTCAAAGGCAAAGGTTTTAAACTTGTTAGGGTCTAAGGACCCCTTAAGAATTACTAAGGATCCGTAGAACTTTTATTTTTGTGGATAATGTCTATTAGTATTTATCATGATAGATATTAAAACTAAGAGATTTAAAAAAATTTTTATAAAAGATAAAATCTCTTGGTTTTGCATAGGTACAAGGAAAACTGGAATTTCAAAATGATTTAATAAACAGTAAGGTTATAGAGATTATAGCTGATGAAACAGAAATGAGCATACTAAGAGCAAATGATGAAAACACACGTGTGTGTCCTCAGTCTACTACTTTAGAAAGGCCTAAAAAACCCAAGAATACTGTGTACAAGTGCGTATTCCATTAGCCACAGAAGAGGTGGTTCATTACATATTATATGTGCTTGATAAACTCATTATTTGCTGGTGAGAGAATGACAGTGAAAAATGCAAATTTTTTTTCAGTACTGGAGATAGAACCCAGGGCATCACACATGCTAGGCAAATGCTGTACCACTGAACTACATTCTCAGCCTTTTTTGGGGGGGGGGACAAAAATCTCACTAATTTACACAAGCTGGCCTTGAACTTTCGATCCTCCTGTATCAGCCTCCCAAGCAGCTGGGATTGCAGGCTTGTGCAATGGCACTGGACCAAGTAGGATCTTATTTATGAGAAGTTTTGACCTTGTCCACTCTGCATAGATATTGGAGATCCCTATACTTTGATCTACACTTCCAGTCCCTTCTTGAGTCTGATTTTCTTGAATTAACTTCACAATAATACTTGATTAGAATAAGATAGCTAAATAGGTTACGTTTTCAAACTTGCCATTTGATACAGCAGGAAGACGCTCGAGCAGATATGGGATGGACTTTAGAGGCAATTTGCAGAGCGTTCTATAATGTGTCTAATGCACTTTCATCAAAGTTCTTTTTAGTTCAGACACCCACAGTGAATTGGAGGTTGATAGGGACAAGAGGAGCACAGGTAGAGATGAGATGTAATCACTGAGTAGTTCCAAAGCCAGGAAAAGATAATAGAACCCAGGGCATCCTTGGCAGAGGTCAGCCTGTGTGCCCTGAGACTGCTCAGGCCTGAGGGCTGTTTAGCAAGGCCGAATGAATGAGGGGATGCTCCTTGCAAAGGAGGTGTTAGAGGCTTGTAAAGATGGTAGGCAGAAGATAGGCCCAGAAGAAAAGGCCTAGGGCTGGAGCAGAAGGTGCAGACTGAGGTGTTGTGATCATGAACTGGATAAAAAACAGGACAACGGAGGGAAGCTCTGCAGGCTCCCTCTGCCTGGTTTCCACCCAGCTGGCAACAGCAACACTTTCTCAGTGACGCCTAAACCCAACAGAGGGCGCTGTTTGCATATCGATTATGTAAATTGAGCCACTTTAAAAATGCCAGGTGCAGAGCTATACACTTCTAATACAAATCTAGTGACTTTAAAATACAGATAAGTGGGTTGCGGTGTAACTCATGCCTACTGTGCATAAGATCCTAGGTTTGATCCCCAGCACCACAAAGAAAGAAGGCAGATAACCTAAAAGGATTGACATAGATAAATACTGCGTAGGAAAAAAATGGTTTGTTTTAATTATTCAAGTATCATTCAGTTACCTAAATCTCCAGCTATTCAGGTAGTCTCACATAGTTGGAAGTATATTTTACTGTACTACACTTTGAGAAGAAAGTGGCAAATATTAAACAAACTCATGTAAAATATTTGTTTTTCTAAACTAACCTAAGCATACAGCATCCTGTCATCTGTGTATAATTCAGTACATATCCGGTACCTACCACATCCAAGACATTCCATAGTTCATTGTGGGGATACAAAATGAGAAAATCACCATATTGCCTGCATGTGGTAGGTATGGAGAGTGGCCAGGGCCACAAGGGGGTTTGAGGCCGCTCTTGATTGATAAAATAATAATACCAGCTAATTACTGAGTTCCTACTATATGCTAGAACTGCCAGGGATTTAGCTCAGTGGTTTCGCCACCTGCTGCACAAACGCAAGGGCCCAAGTTCAATCCCCGGTACCAAAAAAAAAAGATCCCATTATTTAACAAAAGGGGCCAGGGATTTAGCTCAGTGGTTCCGGCGCCTGCCTTACAAGCACAAGGTTCCAAGTTCGATCCCCAGTACCAAGAAAATAAAAAAATTTTAAAAACAGACAAATTTGATACTATATGCTAGAACCTATTCTTGAGCTACCACTTCATTTAAATTTCACAAGAATCTTGGAAGGTTAGGAACAATGATTCTCATTACGAAGGTGAGGGAACAGTTTCTCTGAAGTCACACATCCAAGCAGGGGACTCTGGCCCTGATAGAGAGTCATCTTCAAGGTACACCTGAAAGGGGGGATGGAATGGGCATGGAATCCATTTCTTTGGGCATGGAATCCATTTCCTGCAAAATTGGGGATAATGATTGTACTTACTTCATGTCTTTTTGTAAAGATAAAATGAATATTTTAGAGGACTTAGAGAAGTGCCTGGAAATAGAGGCTGGCTGTGGGCATTGGCCATTATGATCGCTATTAATACTTTTAAGCAACAGTGACAGGAAAGGGCATCCAGATCTGAGTAACAGCTGAGTCAACAAAAGGCGTCTTCCTAAGGGCACTCAGTTGGAGTGGCTGAGCTGCTGAAATGCTCTACAGAGAAGGGAGGGAACATAGGGAAATGACTATGGGAAAATCCATCTTATCTGGGAGATGGTCCTTGATTGCCTGAACAGGTCTGCACTCTGCACTTATCCGTATCCCCTCCTCCTGCTGTAAGGTTGGGTTTGCATCGTTTCGGTTCCATTAGGACCTGTTCGCCCCATTATAGGTTTAGAATCTCAGTAAGCACAGGGAGTGTAATAAATGGCAAAAAGAAAAGGTGGCCATGCCAGGCAGAGGGGCAGGCAGGGATGGTGGCTGTCCACACAGCAGTGCAGGCCGAATGGTGGGAAGAGCCATGGGTCGAGCATTTGGGAGGCTTCCAAGGAGGCTGTGGGGACCCCAGGAAGCCCGAGACAATAGTCTGCACACGGGCAAGTACCCTTTTATTGTCCTGCATGTTTTTACCCCCAGTCTGAAAAAGAGGATGTCAGCTATGGAAAGCTCACCTTCTGTGCCTCAACTACAGCCGTTTACATGAGGTGCACAGTTCCCTCTTTGAGTCACCTCATGACTTCTCACTGTCACATTTCTTGACCCTTCAGGTTGATTCAAAGCTTCTGTTTCTGTGTGGGTGACATTGCAAAAGGGGACCTATTTCCAAACAAGTTGATAAGAGAGGATAAGAAGCAGACAGAAGAAAGGAGGACTGGATGAATTATGGAAGTGAGGACAGGCTGGAGAGAGGATCTCTCTCTAGAAGCTTCAGTGGGTCTTCATGGTCTGACAAGAGGGAGTCCATCAGAGTGGTGGGCCCACATTCCTTCATTTCTCCCCTTCTAGGCCCCTTGCTCCCACCCCTCAGCTGCAGTACCCCCAGCTATCTATACATTTACCAGAAAGGACTTTTCCAGGCTAAGCCACCATGTTCTTACAGAAAGGTAAGGTAAGTGAATTCATTTTTGCCATCAACTGTTCCATGTCATAATGGGATGTTTTTCCTCAAAACAGTATCGCGCTTACTATGGAGCATTTAAAGCATTCCAAGAAGAGCCAGATGACCTCCTAGCCTTGCGTTTTCTCTCTGTGATTTCAATTGTGGACCCTTGGATCTTTATCATTTTCAGAACGTCAGTGTTTCGGATGTTTTTTCACAAGATTTTCATAAGACCTCTTCTGTATAGAAACTGGAACAGCCACTTCTGCCAAACTAACACGGAATCCAGTCTGTGACGGTGACAGAGGTACATGCTGTCTGGTAAACTGAAGGATACATCACATTTTCAAATAAAGAACCATGACTTTAAAACAAATACAAAACTTTATCTTCTAAATCTTTAAAAGTTATCTGCCATAACAAAAGTATCTAGGTATATCTTCAGAACTACTTGATATGTCTAATGAATGTGTTGGTAGTCTTATTCATGAACCATTTTGGTTCGTCTTTTCATTTCATGTTAACAGCAATTAAAATTTTGTACATTGTAAACAATTTTTTAAAGTCTTATAGCAATGATATTAATTGTCCCAGTGTTTGCACCTGGTGTCCCTAAGTTTTGAGAGAAGTCCTGAGACCTAAGGGTCTTATTTAAATGCAGTAGAAACACAACTGCTTACAATATGTGATGAGTGTTGTCTGAAAAGCATACTGGTGTCTTACTCGATTCATTTCCAGTGAAACTTGATTTGTTTATTTCATGCCATAACTGCCCCACATGTTATTTTCTGTGTCAGTTGGACTGAGTATGGCCTGAATTACAGCTCCTCTTCAGAGAAGTAAGATGGGATATGTGACCAGGTCAAGCACATAGAAGGCTTCTCCAGCCACCTTCTGGGAACACTGACTGCCTCAGGTGGAGACACAAAACTATAAGTAGACATGAAATTAGGTATGACTGTGTCCCCAACTTGGAGAAGCTAAAGCTAGCATTGTTTGAAATACAATATGGAGTCAGGAGTGTCAATAGGAATCAGTTTGTGAGAATGGGTTGCAAAATGTTCTTTCAGTGTTTGGAAATTTCCATTTGATAGTTTTATGGTGTTGATAGATTTGGGGGGAGAATTTATGGCTCTTGGAAGAGTAGTGATGTGTGGCTCTGCCGAGAGCTGTCTACTGAGTCAAGCCCTGTGAAGCAGATGTGTCCCAGTGAGAAGCCCACCCAGGACTTAGTGGGCCAGTTGAGAGTGGTGGCAATGACCTGAACACTGCCCATTATAGCAAGAGGTATTCTGCTCTTTACAGAGACAGCGAGATGTTATTGAGGCTCCTGTGAACTACGCTTTCAAACCTGGAGCAGGATATGATTCAAAACAAGCACAACTGAGCATTTTAATTGCACTTGTAACAGTTTACAAAGATAGCAACACTACAACCCTGAAGGAAAAGTGGGGGAAACTCTAACCCACCTTGCGGCAAGAGTTTTCAGTTTTGGTAAACGAACAGAGCAGGGGTGCTGGAGCAGTTTAGCATCTCTGGAGTCCCTTTGTGCCCCAACACACTCCGACTCTGACATGGAGACGGAGAGTTACAACACTGGAAATCATCTCCTGCCGAAGCAAAGACCTATTCCAGCTTCACTGCAACCTCATTCTTTTCACCTTGGTTTTTCCAATATCTCAGAGATGGTATTAACCAAGTAATATGTATTTTTTTTGCATAACAAAACTGTGAAAAGCATAATTAAGACGATAAGAGGTATAATTTGTGAGCATGACATAATGAAAAGTACCATTGTTCTGGAAGTTTAACTTTCATTGTTTGTTTCCTGTGTAAGTATACATGTTTTTCTTTTGTCAGTGGAAATGCATCTTTTTTGTGCTGCCCTTTTGAAAGATGTGTTATGGTGATTGTCCAGGTAATTTGATAAGGCTCCAGATGAATCAATAAACAAAATTTTATAATATTTTGCTGAGGAAGTTACTTTCTTTAAATAAAGAAAGGGCTTTTCTTTTTAGAGCAATCATCAGCAATGTTTCAGTCTCTAACGGTGTAATCATATAAATTTCTGCACACTGTCTTTCAAGCATTTATACTATCTTAGATTTATCCAACAGCTTAAGTTGCCTCTCTGTGTTATACAAAATGTCAATTTGCCATCCTGATGAAGTCCGTGTTAAGTTAAAATCAACTCTGCAATGATCTCCATTAGTTTATTCATTAGTTCCTTAAATAAATGGCACAAACCTTGCACCAAGCAGTTGATTGATTAGGTGCTGTGTAAGAGAATGGCTGGGTCCTGGCCAACGAGTTGCTCAGTTGTCCCCTAGGAGGAGCCAGGACTCCAGCAAGTCATAGTGCAGTATAGATCTGCCAGTTGGAAACACAGGCTGGGTCTTGCTGACACAGGACGCCAGAGGCTGTGAGCCAGGCTGTCCTGAGAACGCCACAAGGAGAGAAGATGCTTTGGGCAGGGATCAAAAGTGAGCAGACGTTTTTTAAATTCTTATTTTTATTAGTGCATATTTGCAGTACATAATGATCACATTCTTCCTAAGGAGTTGGTACATGTACCGATTACACATCTTCATTCTTTTTTCATGTCCTTCTCTTCCCTCCATCTCTCTCTCTCCACTTCCTATTTTATTTTGCCCTTTATACATCGGGTTTCTCATGTAAAAGAAACCACACAATATTTAAGCTTGTGTGTCTGATTTATTTCACTTAACCATAATGGTCTCAAGGTACATATTTTGACACCACTGAAAACTGCAAAGTGCACCCAGAGAAATAGCATACGTAAGATGAAACACATATGGTTAATAAATGTAGACGAATATCCCACCTAACCAAAAAAACGAAAAAGTAAAATCAAACAATCAAGAACCAAACCAAAAATTTATGACTCATAAAAAACAGGGAGGTTATTGAAAAATGAACATTCCTATTTCCCTGATGGATTTGTAAATTTGTACCCTTCCTTAATGGTAAGCTGACAGTGTGTATTAGGTGCCTAAAGCATTCTTTCCTATTGTTTTGGCAAGCCCCCTCTACAGCCCTCTCCAGGAAGAGAAGAGCTGTCAGATCACACCCAGAACCTTTCTTTGTAGCATGTAATTTGTAATAACAAAATGACCAGAGCAAGGGCTAAACAAATTTTCATATGTATATATTTATGTGAATATAATATATATTTATGCAAACACATTCAGCCATTAAAGGTTTTTTCAAATAATTTGCAAATAATAAGAAGCCTATAATAAGTAAAAACAGCACGGTACGAACTATTTTAAGATACAATCTGTAAATATGTATGTGTAGAAAATACCTTAAAGCAGGCATGGTGCCACAGTCTTGTCATCCCAGCACTCTGGGAGGCTGAACAGTAGGATCACAAGTTTGAGCCCAGCTCAGGCAACTTAGATACTTAGTAAGACTCTGTCTCAAAATCAAAAGTAAAAACGGGGTTGGAGATGTAGCCCATTGCGAACCACAAAAGAAAGTAATTGGCAGTTCTTGCTTTCTTTGGTTTTTTTTATTGTTATTATTACTGGGAATTGAACCAGAGCCTTTGCACCTAGCTACATCCCAGCCCGTTTTGGTTGTTATTTTGAGATAGAGTCTCACTGAATCACTAAGTTGTTCAGGCTGAGCTAGAATTTAAAATCCTCTTGTCTCAGCCTCCCAGTGTGCGGGGATTACAGCTCGATGTACCACCGGGCTCAGCTCACAATTACCTTTCTCACACACCCCTCACTCACAATTGGTTATATTTTCCAAGGTTTAAAATAAGTGTACTTCTTTTACATGGAGTCATTCTTTGAGAGAATGAAGAACTGGATGGAGCAAACAAGGGAGACAGGCACAGGGCAAGAGGTTTCAGACTAAAGGAAAGGGCTGCACGGGGGAACCCGAGGGAAGGAGAGTGATGAGTCCGGGCTTTGTCGGTAGCTTCCTTTGGCAGAAGCTTGGGACCTAGGACCACAGGTGGCAGGAGAGGAGGCTGAAAGAGCAGCAGGTTATAAAAGGCACTGGGAACAGGGAATGGGGAGGTGGAGGGTTGTAGCTCTAGGGGCAGCCAGATGGCCCTGGGCAGGACCTGCTGAGGGTGTGGATTGTGGGTGGGGCACCTCAGAGAATGGAAGTGGTTGTGTGAGGCCCTGTGCAGTTGCGCAGTCCGTGCACTAGACCAAGGCTCCCTGCTGAGGAAGCGAGGGTCTGAAGTACAGTCACACCCTGCTCAGCTTCCCTGGGCCTCAGCAACTCAGAGGAAGGGCCTCTCTCAGGATCCCTGGATTGTTCTCCTCACGTTCCCAGTTTACCTGGGCAGTAGCTTGCAGTTACAAGTTGAAATGAAGCTGCTGGGTTATGGTGTGTAGTTGAAATATACTACCTGGCCAGGCCATGAAGGAGGCAAATGTTAGGACTGTCAGTTCAGTCCCAGACACCCTTCAAGGGCTGGTTGGATCAGGCATTCCTGGAACTTCCTCCGAGCAGAGAAACACCAAACACAGGAGTGGCCTTGCACCCTCAGCAGCCACGAGGGCCTCGCCAGCTGCCCTTGATCCAGAATCTCTGTGCTCCAGGCTGGTGCTCTGAGCTTGAGCCTCGGAGAGCCACGACAGCTTTGTCCAGGACTCAGGAAAAACGTAAATTCCTGGCCTCCTTTCAGACCTACTGGGTCAGCATGGGAGGCAGGCCCACAGATTCAGCTACCTGGCCTTCTCTTGGAATTACTCTTTCCTGAGAGGCTGGGGTTGCAAGCATGGGTGTTCCCAGGCAGCAGAGCCCAGATCACAGGTGAGGGGTGATTAGGGTTGTAAGTAGAGCTCCCCTTTCTACGTTTGCACTGTTGCCTACGGAAGTGAAACCTGCAGGTCTCACCCATTATCTGCAAGGTGAGCATTCCAATCTTCTAGACCATTAAAAACAGGAATGAACTAGGGAGTCCTACAGTCTTGGAAATACTCACAACAAAGGTGTTTAGAACCTGTCATGCTCTCATGACAAAAAGGGAGAAGAAATAAATTTTATTTTGTAGTTGCTGTTGTTAATTCAATGCTAAAGTCACAGAGTACAATAAATCAGAATCGAGTAGAATCTGATCAGAAAGTATATTTTAAATCAAGCTCAAAGGGTCTTATGAGGAACTTACATTCATAGAAAACACTAGGAATCTCATTGGAAAGACAAAAGATGGGACAAAGTTTAAAATTACACAATCTACTGCAAATGCTACCATGTGCTGCAGTATGAGGCTTAGATACTGAATCAACAAAGCCCCAGATCAGAGATAATTGGTGTGGAGATCAGTTTAGCAGGTTAGATAGGCACCCAGGCAAATGATGAAGTTGGTGGCTTGGTGACATCAATTTCTTATCAGTACAATAGAAGATTAAGGCACAGTGAAGGTCACACAACACAATCCATAGTGAATTGGGAAAGTTCTATTTCATTCCACAATCTTAAAAACAACTCAGTTCTAAATTTGGTTTTTTAAAAAAGTATAATGATTTACTGACAATGATTGGCACATACTAAAATGACCCTTAAAAAGGTAAAGTTTAAAATGAGACCTAAAATCTACCTTTCATGTGTGAATTAAAAGTACTGTCATGCAAAACAGAACATAGGGCAATGAGCTTACAGTGGTTTTAAAAATCAGCATGTAGCTTTACAATACAATCAGTAGCAAACACTTTAGATCATTGAGTTAGTATGGCAATAAAAATGTAAAGGAAAATGTATTAAAGAAGTATTAGAGAAATAAAACTGTCACTATTTTCATGTGTGATTTCTCATGCCTCGCCCCAATCGTGGTAAATCAAATAGAAAAAAATTTCATTTAAATATATTTGTATTTTTATTGCCACATCACTCAATCAGATGGATTTTTATCAAATAGGCAAGATATATGTTTGGGGTGGATGGTAAGTATAGACTGTGATGTAGTAATTCACCTATAATTCACTTTTGAGGCACCCCCAAAACATGGCTTCTCCAGAGCCACTCAAAGCCGGGTCCAACAAGCAATGCTGTAAGATACCCGCCATATATAAAATCATACCATGAGCAAAGAAAATGAACCATGTTTCAGAAAGAGCCCCCAAACTCAAAGTCATAAGGGCAGAGTCTCTGACTGGTAAATGTGGATTTGTGACGCAGCTGTTTATGCTTGCAAAACTGTCTTCCAGGACAAGTATCTTCAGGGTTTTATTTAATGATGGTTAGCGGGAGAAGCCAGCCACTAAGTTACAGCAGAGTGATAGGCCACTTGGAAAAGAGGTTCCTCCTCCTCCTCTTATAAGCCTCTAGGCTTTTCCATCCCCAGTTCAGCAAAATAAATAAAATAAAGTCACTAATCCTTATCATGGAGGCTCCAGCCTCACGACTCCATCTAACCTTAAAGACTTCCCAAATGCCCCATGTACCATCAACATGTGAATTTGGGGACTAGGTTTTCAATGCAAGAACTTTGGGGGACACACTCAAGCCATAGCTTCTGGCATTCATGCCCTTGGGTAATCCATTTCTCCCCAGTGTGAGCTGGACCCAGAGACTTGCCTTTTATAAGTGGAAAACAGCAAGAAACATCTGCGACATTGTGTTCCTGGTTAGGTTACAGCAGAAGCCTTGCTTGCTTCCTCTGATGGAAACCAGCTGCCGTGCTGCAAGCTATGGGGAGGCTCACAGGACAAGACACTGAGAAGGCCACTGGCCAACAGCCAGCGAGGACCTGAAGCCCTCTGTCCCCAACCCAAGAGGAACCCACTCCTCCTCTCTCTTGGAAGTAGTTCCTTCTGAGTCCAGCTTTGAGCTGATCACAGCCCTGGCCAACATCTTTATTTTAATTGACATATAATTATAAATATTCATAGGGTACAATGTGATATTGTGACACAAGTATACGATGCACAATGATCAGGCATATC